CTGCCTCAGCCTCCCCAGTAGCTGGGATTACAGGCAGGCACCACCACGCCTGGCTAATTTTTGTGTTTTTAGTAGAATGGGGTTTCACCATGTTGGTCAGGCTGGTCTTGAACTCCTGACCCCAAGTGATCAACCCGCCTTGGCCTTGGTGCTGCAATTACAGGCATGAGCCACCACACCTGGCTACAGTTTTCTAAGCAGCACTGGTTAGCAAATGATAGCCCACAAGCCAAATCCAGCCCACCACTTCTTTTTGTATGGCCCATGAGCCGGGGAACATTTTTACACATGATCATTTACAATCAATTTGATGATAGAGAACACTAACTTTGGATTCTAATTAAGTGAAAGGTTATACTCCCCCAAAGAATTTCATTTTTATTAGTAGATCCATATTATTAATTCAGATAAGCTACATTATAGTTCCCAGGCTTCTGAATCTTTTCTAGAAACTGAGTCAAATTAACTTGGGAGACACTTCAATAAAATTTCAATGCAGTTATCAGAGTATGTCACTGGCTATTAAATGACTATAATAAACTAGATATTTTACTATAATAAGTTGGAATAGTCTGTTCGGTAATAACATTTTTATCTAAAGTGGTTTGTAAAGCCAATATGATGAAATTGAGAGTAAAAGCTTTCCTTTATAGAAAATATACTACAATAATTTGGGTATTAGAAGAGATGTCAGTTAATACTGAAATATTTAGCTATAGCTACTGCCACAAAATTCAATGTATTATGGGACTCCCAAAAGTCAGCATATTAGAACAAAAGCATAAATCTTGCTCATTATACAAATTGTTAAATACTCAAAGAAATAACAAAACATATTATTTGTACTCCTCATAGCTAAGAGGATTCTGTTCTATAAAAATCTAGGCTGGGTATGGTGGCTTATGCCCATAATCCCACCACTTTGGGAGGCTGAGGTGGGCAGATCACCTGAGGTCAGGAGTTCGAGACCAAACTGGCCAACATGGGGAAACCCCATCTGTACCAAAAATATAAAAATTAGCTGGGCATGGTGGCATAGGCTGGTAATCCCAGCTACCTGGGAGGCTGAGGCAGGAGAGTTGCTTGAACCAAGGAGGCAGAAGTTGCAGTGAGCTGAGATCGTGTCACTGCACTCCAGCCTGGGTGACAGAGCAAGACTTCATCGCAAAAAAAAAATCTAAAAAACATCCAATATTTGATATTTCTTACCTCTAAAATTCCTTTCCTTTTCTTTTCTTCACTTTCTGTGAATCCACTTATGATTTGATAACAGTCTTTACAAACTTTGTTCAATTTACCTCCATCATATTCAAGTTGAGCTTTGTAGTCGGAGCATTTCCAACAAACCACCTTAAGTTTAAAAGAAAAAAGAACAGTAATCATATTTAAAGGATACAATTTAAGCAATAATCTATTATAGGTAATAATGAATGAGAAAGTGTTAAGCATAGAAGGCAGATTTTTGTTAGAAAAGGAACATCCCTATAAACACTAGACATAGGGTGTTTCAACCGTGTTTGGGAAGAGGTCTGCTCACTCATCCTTCTTTTCCTGGCCTCTAAAGGTAGAAGACCCTCAAAGGCTTAGTGTAGACCTTGACTCTTCATGCTTCTGAATGTTCGTCAATATCCTCTCCAAACTGCTCACGACCTTCCCTGGTCTCAGTCCATCCAACCCGCTTCTCCCAACCCGGTCTCCTCTCAGTCCTTTCTATTACAGGAAATGGGGCAGTCATACGATTGCCTGTGTCAGACACAGGAGTCATCCCCAAAACCTCTTTCAATCTCACCCAAAGATTTTCTATTTTACAAAGTCCCACTGATTTCACTTTTCTAAATATTTCTTCAGTCTATTTTTCCACAACTTCCTTATAACCACCCAAGTCCATTTCCAGGCCTCCACTCTTATACCTCCTCCAAGCTATAATATCTTCCAAACAGTGGAGTGATGCGCCTCTTAAAAATGCTAATCTGGGCTGGGTGCAATGGCTCATGTCTGCAATCCCAGCACTTTGGGAGGCGGGTGGATCACAAGGTCAGGAGATTGAGACCATCCTGGCCAACAAGGTGAAACCCCATCTCTACTAAAAGTACAAAACTTAGCCAGGTGTGGTGGTATGTGCCTGAAGTCCCATCTACTCAGGAGGCTGAGGCAGGAAAATCACTTGAACCCAGGAGGCGAAGGCTGCAGTGAGTCGAGGTCACGCTACAGAGCTCCAGCCTGGGCGACAGAGCAAGACTCTGTCTAAAAAAAAGAAAAAGAATGCTAATCTGGTCAAGTGTGGTGGCTCCTGTAATCCCAGCACTTTGGGAGGCCAAAAAGGACAGATCGCTTGAGTCCAGGATTTCCAGACCAGCCAAGGCGGAGCTCATGCTACTGCACTCCATCCTGGGTGACAGAGTAAAACCCAGTCTCAAAAAAAAAAAAGCTACTCTGATTTATTCCTCCTCTATTTAAAATCCTTCACTCTTTCCTTTGCTCTTGGCTAAAGAGCCAATTCTTAATCATGGCCTACAAAGTCCTGCATAATTTGCCTTCTTTCCGGTCTTTCTGGGCTGTGTCCTCAGTGACACTGGCTTCTTACAGTTCCCAAGGGCCATGCTCTCTGCCTCTCTCCTCTCTGCTTCACTGAGTTAACTTTTGGTTTCCCTTCAGGTGTTGGCTCAAATTCGAGTTCCTCAATGAGGACTCCTCCAAATCCCAGAACACAGCATGTCTCCTGTCAGTGTTCCCTGCCCTTTCTTTCATAGTAATGATTACAGCTTTTAATTTTATTCTTGTATGATTATTTGATTGTTTATCTCCTTTACAGGGCTGTAAGCTCCAAGAGAGACTGTCTTTGTATATTTTGCTCAACAGACACGTAATAAACATTCGCAGACTGCCAATAAATGAATGAATACGACACAAATGCGTATTTCTTAGTGATCATTTTTTTCTATTATAGGATTTGTTTAAAATCTTCTAGTTTAATATCTTCTTCCTTTTACAGAAGTATATTTTCCCCTCAATTTATAGTAGACAAGTTGTATTAAAGAAAATATATAATTCAAATTTTTGTTGTAGGTTTATAGCATTTAAAATTCAAGATAAAAATGGTCTACTGTTTGCTCATAATTACAATGAAATTACTCTGGGATTTAGAATTAGACATACTTGTATCTGCAGACTCATACCATCCATTTTATTTATTTTCAAATCATAGCACGGTACTTTGACAATGCATATTTAAACACATTTTTTGTTTATTGCAAGCAAGTATGCCAATAACGGAAATCATTTCAAGCAAACTTAATGATAGATTTTTAAAGTCTTATCCTGATAAAAAAGCTCTTTGCTGTCAATTTAATTTGATCACAAAACTACCTTCTTGAGTCAAAAATAATTCTGAGGAAAATAGGAAGAATAAGCTAAAAAAACTATCAATAAGAATTGTTACACTTAGGCACACAAATAATATATCAGCTTACGACACTGTAAAAAAAAAAAAAAAAGCTATGGGCGGGTGCAGTGGCTCATGCCTGTAATCTCAGCACTTTGGGAGGCTGAGGTGGGTGGATTGCCTGAGC